AGTCAACTTAAAAGAAACTGACACAATCTAGATAGTTGAGTATCAGTAAATAACCTGTTGCCATAAAACAGGACAGTCAGCACACACTTTTAGTAAAATCTTAACTTGGAATGCATTTATAGCCTACTGACAGTTCAACATATGTTACTTGTCTGTTGAAAGAGTCTTGTTAGATGTCAACTAATACACTGACATGCAACTGAATATCTACTTATGGCTTGCAAAGTGTCAACAGACTATCAAAATAAAGTGTTACAAACAAACCGAACAACAGTAAACCCAACCCACAGAACCACTGGTGCATGTATGAGGATGCTGAGTTTGTCTTGCTACTGCCATTTACAGAAGGAAGACTTTCCAGTGCTCGTTTGCAGTGAATAATACAAAAGAAAGTCCGCTCACCAAGAGCCTGCCAGAGGTTTCTTCCATTAAAGGGATTTTTTCCTCTCCACTGTCACCAAGTGTTTGGGGATTTCAAGGTCAAAGTGTTTATTTGTCATATGCACAGTTAGGAAACGTGTTTCCCTGTACAATGAAATTGTTACTTTGCTGTCCACATGAACGCCACAAAATACAATTGAAATATAAAGTAGATAAATAACACAAAATCTAAGGCGTTTTAAGCAACAAATGCAGCAATATAATAAAAATATATAATATAATAAGAGAATGTATGCTGCATGGGAGCAGCATGTGCAGCAGTCAATAGTCAATGTGCAATTATGCTGCATGTGTAAACTGAAAATGTAAACAGTACAGGTCGACAGTACATCATGTATTTCCTGGTAATAAACTCCTCAGCTGTTTACGAGTCTGATGGCGGAGGGAAAGAAAGAGTTTTTCAGTCTGGAGGTCCTACACTTCACACTTCTGAACCTCCGGCCAGAGGGTTGGGGGGCGAACAGTCCGTGATGGGGGTGGGTGTGATCTTTGAGGATGGAGGCAGCTTTCCTATGCACCCTGCGGTGGTAAATGCTCTGCAGTGAGGGCAGTGGAGTCCTGGTGATCTTCTCCACAATCTTTACCACTCTCTGTAGGCGCTTGCGGTCCATAGCGGTAGTGCTGCCATACCAGGCAGTGATGCAGCTGGTCAAGATGCTCTCAGTGATGCAGCTGTAGAAGTTGCTGAGGATCCTTAGTCATTTAGTTGATACAGTATGTTTAATCTGCAGCTACACCAGGGCTCCAGACTTTCATAATGGTGGCACTCTTGTCACCAAGTCTCTCAGATGGTGACACTACCTCTGTTTTACAGCAGAAAGCAAAAGAATCTGTATTTTTCATATCTGCAGGCGCTTGCAGTAGTGCTGCCATAACAGACAGTGATGCAGCTGGTTAAGATGCTCTCGACGATGCAGCTGTAGAAGTTGCAAAGGATCCTAGGCGACATTCCAAACCTCCTCAGCCTCCTCAGGAAGTACAGCCGCCGTTGGGCCTTCTTGATCAACTGTGTGGTGTTGAGTGTCCAAGTGAGGTCCTCACTGATGTGGACACCCAGGTATTTGAAGCTGCTCACCCACTCCACCTCAAGCCCCCGGATGAACGGCGGCCGATGAGATCTCTTCTCCTTCCTCATGTCCACTATCATCTCCTTCATCTTCCCTGTGTTGAGGCTGAGATTATTGCCCTTGCACCGTGACACCAGATCGGCCACCTCCATCCTGTAGGCTGCTTTCTCACCCCCCCAGATGCGTCCTGAAGAGTATCCTGATGTAGGAGTCTCCATTTTCCAGGTGAGAAAGGGAATAGTGGTATATACTGCTCTGAATGCAGGCCAGCACCACTCTCTCAAAGCACTTCGTAATGATTGGGGCGAGTGCCACTGGCCTGTAGTCGTTCAGGCAGGTGACCGGGCTCTTGTTGGGAAGGGGGACGATGGTTGTGGTCTTAAAGCAGGTGGGAACGTTACTCTGGCTGAGGGAGAGATTGAAGGGGGTGAGAACATCAGCCATCATGCCGAGAGCCCTCCCAGGGATGTTGTCCACCAGTCCTGCTACTTTGCGGGGGTTGATCTTCCTCATGGCTGTGCGTACCTGGCCTGGTGAGACAGTTAATGGAGGGAAGGTGGTGGTGGGGGGGTCCAGGTGTGTGCGTGCTTCCTCTCTGTGCTGTAGCTCTCAAAGCGGGTGTAGAAGGTGTTGAGGTCATCCAGCAGGCTGTCTGTGGAGCTGATGATGCTGGTGGTAGTCCTGTAGTTTGTGATGTGCTGCAGGCCTTGCAACATTCATCCGGAGTCAGCAGTAGAATAGAAGCCATTCACCTTCTCTCTGTACTGCCTCTTGGCCGCTGTGATGGCTTTCCTCAGTCTGTACTTCACAGCTTTAATACTCCATCTCATTGCCTGATCTGAATGCATGAGAGCGAGCACGCAGCATGTGGCGTACCCGACTGCCTTTTCAAGGCTTCTGGTTGGGGAACCTCCTGACTTGTATGGTGGGCACAATATTGTCAATACAGGTACTAATGTACCTGGTCACATACTCAGCATAATCCTGTACGCTGACAGAAAAGTCCTCCAAGGTGGCTGCAGCTTTAAACACATCCCAGTCTGTCTGGGCAAAACAGTCCTGCAGGGTGCCTTCAGTCTCTGGGGTCCAGAATTTAATTTGTTTGGTGACAGGGTTTGTTTGTTTCAGTCTTTGCCTGTAAGCTGGATACAGGAACAAAGAAATGTGGTCCGAGCGTCAGAGGAGGGGGTGGAGTGCACCCCTGTATGCACCCCGTATATTACTGTAAACATGATCCAGAGTGTTCTTGCCCCAGGTGGGAATGTTCACAGGTTGGTAATATTTGGGAAGTACAGAAGTAAATTGCACTGGTTAAAGTCACCTGCAGCAATAAATATAGCGTCGGGGTGCGCTGTCTCTATCATGCTGATGACGTCATGGAGTTTGCTGAGAGCCGTTGAGGGATTAACTCTTTGGCTAACATACACAGCAGCCAGAAACACAGCACTATGCTCTCTTGCTAGATAATAGGGCAGGCATTTCAGCAATAAAAAATCTACTTCGAGTTAGTGATAAACACACACACCACCTCCTTTTACCTTCCCCGAAGCAGCAGTGCAGTCACCTCAATGTACAGAGTGTGTTTGTAGCTGAATCGCAGAATGTCTCGGTGAGAATTAGATATACAGTATTCTCTGATTTGCCGTTGTGCTGTAATCCTAGCCCTTTGCTCGTCCAGTTTGTTTTCCAGTGACTGTACGTTAGCTAGGAAGAGGCTGGGTAGTGGCGGTCGAGTAGCGCAAGCTTTTAGCCTAGCATGGAGTCCCCCGTGCTTGCCTTGCTTGCGTCTCCATCTCTGGCTCTCCTGATTTCAGCCTGCTCGCTTGTACCTGGTGCTCCGGGGGCTCCCTAAGGGTGATGGTGGTTGTCGTTGTTGTTCCGGGAGCGGACAATGAGTTGTAGCTCCGGTGGTATGAAACCAGTAAATTCCCAGTGGCTGTGTGAGTTGGCGATATCCAGCAATGCTTGTCTGTTGTATGTTAGCAGTGCATGACATTTGTGCACTACAGAAAGAGTAAAAAAATAAAAATAAAAAAAACACACAAAAAAGAAAACGAAGAAATAGCCAGCATTTGAGAGTGGAACGCGCAAACACGTCTGCCTCGGTAGGCGCCATGTTTGGTATCTAATATTTGTTGGATTTCTCTCTATAAAACTGTCAGGTCTACTAGAGCTTACTGTGTCAAGTGCCCTAAGGTTAGGGGTGTAAATCAGTAGCCTCATCATGATACAATCCTACATCAATTTTCTTAGACAGTGATCCCATGTTTGCTGAAACTCAAATATGCCACAATGCAATTTCTAGTCAATTCAGGGGCCTGCAATCAATATCCAACCATATTGTATCTATTTCATGTAATAACAGTTTTATTAATTGAAATGCAACAAAAGTATAATTTTAGAATTTTACTGAGCTCCTCTGTTCACTTTCAAGTGCTATTTACATACAACTGAAGACCCATAAAGACCTTCAAATTTAATATAAACTTTGACTTTTGAGATAAGAAGCATTTACATTTATATTTACACACAAACAAAAAAAAAACATATTTCCTGAATTGCAGTAGGAGTTTTGTTAAAACTTTCCATTCTCACTTTTGTATGTGTCCTTTTTAATCCAAAATGCTACCATACCCACGACTTGCATCTGATAAGAGAGTTTATCTTGTATGTTTTCTTGGCTGTTACATGTCAAAGTCAGTTCTCATAAAAATTGTCCTTTACCCCGCAAATGCACCAGACAGAACTCTACATTAGCAAATGTATCAGTCCACAAGGACACACATCACACCTGGATCTCCCGCATTTTTTAACTCTTCAGGACTATTTGTGAATTATGAATCCATAGTCTCAGAATACTAGCTGCACCGCCTGGCGCTTGTTGTCCATTCTGAAGAAAACAGCACTTCACTGGAAATGCGTACATATGTGGCCGACTGTCAGAATAAACAAACACCTAACACAGGTTTACGTTTTGCATCAATGTCATCAAATTGCAGGGTGTATTATTGATGCATAGATCCAGATTGATGGATCGCTACACTCCTACCTGAGGTGATTTTTTGTTATGAAGTGGCACTATACAGACAAAATTGAAATGAACTGAATTTTATTTCGTGAGGGGAGGCCTCAGGATGATGAAAGATTTTTAAAAAGCATGGGTATCAAGGATTGCTGTCAAAGACAGCAGCAATCACTGGAATTTACACTGTTGACAAAAGAGTATATGAGAAGTTTAAGAAAGGTAAACATATCCTCTTAAGGGGGGGGAGAGATCCCATATTAAATTACAACATTGTAAAAAAAAAAAAAACAAGAAAAAAAACCCACAGCTACATTTTCCAAAATCATTCAGCCCTATTTAAGAGTTATGGTTCATTTTCCTTTTAATAATTTGCTCAACATGCTTAGAATAATGAATTAAACCTTTGAAAATGTAGTTAAACCTTGTGTTAATCTTAATTCATTAGCATTATGCAAGATGAGCCTTACCTGCTATTGCTGAAGGACGTTCATTTAACTTGGCATTTAGGAGTTTTCTGCTAATAAACACATAACCACATGGGCAGGACTTGCATGCAACAGGAATCTAGAGATAAACATAACAGAAGACTTAATTACTGTTACGGTAGCATCTTCAGAGCACAACTATTAGCCAGTGTGGCAATTATTTTAAGGTTGTTTTATGATGTGAGAATTCAAACAAAGTAAATTGTGCAAGTTCACACATTAAGTCCCCATGGCTGCTCATTTCCAGCCATTTAATGTTTAATCTTGGGTACCTCTATATTAGCTTTGCACCCATCATAACTCCAAATAGTCTGCAATTATTTCAGAAAGATAAAACCTGACAGCCTCTTCCTAAAAACCAAAGGATAGTTCGTTAATGTGTCGCATGTGGACAGCACAACAAACTGCAACTGCATTAATTAATATGATAGGTAAACAGCAGTATATGTACAGATGAAAAGAGATTTGTAACACTCTAAACAAAGTGGGTAATTGAGAAACCCCATATCTTAATTGGCATAATGCAGACATAGTAACTTCTAGCGTAGAACCAACAATAACATCATGGGTCGTTAATCCGCTTGTTAACCAGCAACACATCACATTCGGCAGAAACACTGGCCTCAAACAGTCAAGACAAACAGGTACTGTGGTCCGGGGGAATCCACTTAAACTCACCTTTAGCAACCAACAGGTGCTGGCAACATAGAAATCACACTTGCAACCAGTTAAAATGGAGAAAAGTTGACTCAACCTTTGTGTGGTGTGGACCACACTGAGCATGGAGAAAAGAAAGAAGAGCAAAGAATTGGTGTCCAATACCTGGACAGTCTCAAGACTCCAAGTCCATGTCCAGAGATCTGACTATTCCTGTGTCCACTGTGTAACATTGTCAAGAAGTTTACAGCCCATGGCGCTGCAGCTAATCTCCCTGAACATGGACGAAAGAGAAAACAGATGACAGATTGCAACAAAGGATTGTTGGAATGGTGGATAAAGAACTTCGATCAACTTCCAAACTAATCCAACCTGACCTGCAGGCACAGGGTGCAACAGTGTCAGATCTGTCGCGATCTGAATGTCAAGGGACGCTATGGTAGGAGACCCAGGGGACCCACTGCTGACACAGAGATATAAAGAAGCCAGACTAGAGTAGTGCTGTGCCGATAAATGATATAATATCGAATCGCAATAAAATCGATATCAATAACGATAAGCTCTTGGCATTTTTACTCGATATGGATTTGTAAGAGCCAATCACACAGTAGCAATATGCGACAAGAGCCAATCAACATGCAGCTTTAAACGTGCACATCAGAGAACAAAGTTAGTTAATTTCCTATGGCACTTTGCAAAACAAGCTGGAGACGAGGACAGCAAAAATGAGTGAAAGCAGTGGCGAAAGTGAGACAAACATCGAGCAAGTAGTCAAAAATGATGAAATTGTCGACAAACAAGGTAGCACAAATTCGATTATATGGAAGTGGTTTGGCTTTTTGAAGAGCGACGAGGCGCAGATTCAAACGATCTGTAAAATATGTCGTAGCCCGA